AATGTCAGTCCTTTACGGACCTGCAAAAACTGATTCAGCAGACTTGACGCTCAAGAAAAAGACCGTCTACACCTACGTAAATGTGTCCGAAAGAACGATGGGGGCCACAACGGCAGTGGTAGTGCCATATCTACGGTTTGCTGCTACTGATATCGAATGGATTGCTGGGAATGCCTGGGATGAAATTCACTGCAAATGTAGCACTGAACAAAAGCACTGAACGAAAAGTTTGGCCTGAGCCCATGCTCTGCACTTATTTTTTCGATCTCGGATTCTTGCCATTCTTTGCGCTGCCTCTCAGCTACTTAAAATTCCTGGAATAAAAAAGAAATGATTTCTCGCGGCCACGCCCCGCAGGACTACACTTCGGAAATGGGCAATGCTTATTTTGATAACTATTTTTACACCACTAATTATTTTTCTATCATCTCAGGAACCAAACAAAATCGTGTGCTGAATTTTGCAGAGATATTCTCTGTGCATGTGTGAGTAAAGATTTCAAATTTAGCTCCTTGATGTATCTACTTGTCACGTACGGGCAAGTGAAAGTTTCGTCGGAAGAACTGCTAACTCGGGAACCAGAAAAGCTAAAAAGCAGAGATTTTGAGAGAATGTTACCTGTCTAAGTGCAACATAAATATTTCAAACACAGCTTCCAGGAATGCACTGTTCTTACGTGTGGGCACTTTAAAGTTTTGGTAGAAAAATTACTCTCTGAATAGCTAGGTTATTTTTAAAGAACGACCGTTAAACGGAAATTGTTCATTTCCTTTATGCAAAATTTACGATGATTTACGCTACTGCGAGCAAAAGATCGATCAAAGCAACAATCATTCATTCAGTTAACGACCTTAGTACTTCAAATCTGGTGCAAAGACGCATAAATCGTATCGGTAAGACTGGTGCCTTCCAGCCTGGGCTTATTAATAGCTCCCCGTCCAGAAAAACCTTGGTTACGCTTTTGCTATGTAGAAATTCAACTATGTGTGTGCTGAGCACCACCTTCTTGTTTTCAATCACTGGACCTCCCAAACCAAGTTAAAGTGCTTTGCTGCCTGGGGAGATTGCAGTCATGCTGAATTACTAATTACCACTGCAGGTACCAAAAACGCGACCTGGAATTTGCATATCGGATACGCTGCAACGAGCATTGATGCGCTGGCAGCGTGTACTCGGAATACGACGATCGGCGGAAGCAAACAAGCACAGTGTTGTGAAACCAGCATCCATACCGTCACCATTCGTCGTCAAAAGGACTGCTTGGATGTAACTGGTGCCAATATCTTGTCAGAGGGGAAATTCATTCTCTGTAAAAAAAAATAATTCGTTGCATAACTGTATGGGCTTCGCTGTTGCATAACTGTATCGTTGTACTGCCAGAGAAGCTAGGATTTCTTCAGCTGTTTTTAGAAATTCTCAAGATTCTCCCTCCAACAAGCACATTGGCAAACATTTTATTTTATTTAATACTTTTTGCTTCGGAAACTATTTCATGCTTTTGTTCTATCAGGTGTGTTTTTTCCAGCTACTTAGACCAATAATGCGTCGCTTACTGGTCACCTTCCCGGCGACTCACGTTCGTTCTGCGTTTTGAAGAGATTATCAGCTGCAGCATATTGTTACCATTAGCAGTTATCAAAAAATAGCTGTATTGTAAAGTCTGTCTGCTTTAAAAAAAGCATTGAAAAATCAAATCAAAAAAACGGAATCAAACATTAGTTTTTGGTAAGTAAGAATTAATCAAGGGCTTGAGTCCGCCGTTGTAGCACCCACCCTCTCTATTGTTCGATCATTTGTTTCAATGGTAAATTGGTGCTGGTTCATGCCAAAGAGCCAAGTTCATCAGCTTGCTTGAAAGCATTCCTTGAATCATCGATAGCCTTATCAGCAATAGCTGTTGACGATATCTGCTATAACTCAGGCTACATCCCGGTTTTCTTCGTTTTCTGTTAAAGCGAATATGCAAAGGGTTTTGACTCTTGCCTTTGATGAACCATTCGGTTTTAAAATTCATCAAAATGTATGTTCTTCACTCTTCAGGTTTTGAAATCACAATAAAAACGCCAGTTGTTTAAAATTTTTTTCACAAAAAAATCCAGAACGCATACACTTTACAGGTTTACACGCTCTCAAAAAACTATCCAGTGAGAACGATGCAAACAGGAACACGTTCTATCGACATAAAAGTGCTGTAGTGGTCACTTCAAAATACACTGCTTTAAGCAGTGTTGAGTAACACTTTGCGAAGTTTAAGCAATTTGTATAGTTAAAATTCTAAGGCTATTCCCATTTTTGCAATAGTGTCCCCTTCACGCTTTCTTCTCCAAAAGCACTACTAAACAAAATAGATTTTTCATAATTTTGCCTTGAATTTTCTGATAACGTTTGTGATTGAACGTAGCAGTAAATAAAATTGTAATTAAAGCTGAATAATGGAACATCAATATTTACTGAATAGTTACAAATATTTCTTTTGAGCGAAATAGAAAAATGGGATTAATTTAC